TTTTTTTCTTCAGTTCTTTCAGCTTGAGAAATACTGAGCGTGTTCTTCCCTTTTGGTTTTCTAACTCCAGGTTTTCACACATTTCATTATAGTACTTGATTTTGTCTTCTGGAGCTGTGCCGAGAGCTAGCCCCAGCAAATTGATTCCAGGGTTCCCGAAGGCGGATGCGGGTGTCGGCAGAAAAAGAATTACACATAGTTGACAGATCATGATGAATTCAAAATCTCCTTCTTATATGCTTTATTATCCTATCATTCTTTACCCTCCTACTCATTTTTCTCTCCTGCTCATTCTTTTCTCTCCTCCCCTCTCTCCTGCTTTTCCCTTCTTCATCCCTCTCCTCTTTCATTCTCCTCCTGCTTTTTTCATCTCCTTCCATTTCTTTACTCCCCCTCTCCTGCTTTACCCTTCTTCTCCTCTTACCTTCTGCTCTTTCATTCTCCTTCTCTGTTCTCCTTCTCTGTTCTCCTTCTCTGTTCTCCTTCTCTGTTCTCCTTCTCTGTTGTCCTTCTCTATTGTCCTTCTCTATTGTCCTTCTCTGTTGTCCTTCTCTATTGTCCTTCTCTGTTGTCCTTCTCTGTTGTCCTTCTCTATTGTCCTTCTCTATTGTCCTTCTCTATTATCCTTCTCTGTTCTCCTTCTCTGTTGTCCTTCTCTGTTGTCCTTCTCTGTTGTCCTTCTCTATTGTCCTTCTCTATTATCCTTCTCTATTCTCCTTCTCTGTTGTCCTTCTCTGTTGTCCTTCTCTATTGTCCTTCTCTATTGTCCTTCTCTATTATCCTTCTCTATTCTCCTTCTCTGTTGTCCTTCTCTGTTGTCCTTCTCCCCTCCTGCTTTAGTCTTCTGCCATTCTTTTTCCTTCTTCTCCTCTCTTATCTCTACTTTTTCCTTCTTCCTTTACTCTTCACTCTCCCCTTCACTCTTTACCTCCATTCTCCACTACATTCTCTACTTCATTTACCACATTCTCTTTTCTTCTACTTCTTTATTCTATCCTACAACTCTCTTAGATACCGTTACAAAAAACATTGTTTTCATAGTCATCAATGTCCTCAAAATACAATCTATTCTGGGGCACATTCTTCATGGTTTACGACCCTTAGATTTACAACAGGGATGAGAAGTTACAGCAAAGAAACATTACATCAACACATACGAGAGACATCCTGGCGCCTTGAAACCTTTTAGTTAAACATTTGGACCTACATAAATAACTTCTATTCTTTTCTCCGAGAAGCAAGTTAACCTTCACATATGTTTCTTAACCTCTATCTATTGAGTCTTGTTAATTTTAGTTGTTAGGTGCAATTAACTCCCCATTAACTTCTTCCATACACTGTCTGTTTATAGCCTACAAAAATATCACTTATGAGAACATTTAAAAAACTGAGGCTATGAAAAGCAACTTCCCTATTTTACTGATCATTAATTTAAGAATGTCTAAGTCAAACTTTTTATTTACGGATCTATATACGCATAGCCTTTATTTATGGACTAGTTACTTTTAAGGATTCTTTATTGTCCCAAACTAAGGCTACAAGGAAGAATGTTTATAATCACTAAGTCTAAGCTGGCAGTAATTCAATTGACAAATCCTGTCTCCTAGCAGTCTTAAGAACATTGCCAATATAAGTATCAAAACTACCCATGATTACAAATAGAATAAAATGTAGCTAATATATGGCTTCTAACTTTTAATAAAAACATACTAAAGTGTAGGAGAGTCAAAATCTAAAGTAAAGGGATACTAATAAAATCATGAGTAAATCAGAGAATGATTCTAAAGGAAAAAATTAACTAGGGGCCTGTGCATAGACTATTTCTTCCTTGTAGCTCTGCTATCCAAGGAAAATAGTTCATTGTTGCTTTGCTAGAACAATGAGCTCTTCATGCGCAGGGTCCCCTGTGTCTCATTTCTTTATTCCTTGATTAATATGTCTCAATTCCTTCATTTAATTCCTTAATTAATATGGCCCCTGCCAGAGCTGGCCGTTGAAATTCCCTTGGAAAACCCCTGGGAGCAGATCTCCTGTTTCCTGTGGTTGTTGCACCATTGTACAGGAAACAAGCACCATTGGTCATTGATCATAGGCTGCATCTTAAAATGGTTGAACAGTGACTGTATCTTTTTTGGTTCAGTGACTCTGATTCCTTCCATCTTCTTTTGGTGCTTTCTGTGTCATCCAGTATTTTGCCCATAGAATCCTCCAGTATTGTAAGTCGAGGCAAGAATTTCTTTTAAATCTCTTTATTTTTTACTTTAAAATGCCCTATTTTCATCGCTTTTTTTTTTTTTTGATGTCATTTTTTTTTGGTTTTTACTCTCTGCTTTAGTTTTCATTTCTGAAATGATTTTCTTCTTTTATTGTTAATTTTTTTCTTGAGTTCTGTCACCTAATTTGTGTGTGGTGTTGGTATCCTCTAATTTTTAGGGATCTGATTCTTGATATTTTCCTCTTGCTCAGTTTGGGATGAAATTTGTTTTCCTGAGCTGTTGGTGGTTGTGCTGTCGAGTCGATTTTGACTTACAGAGTAGAACCGTTCCATAGGATTTTCTAGACTGTAATCTTTGCAGGAACAGGTTGTCAGCCTTTCTCACATGGAATGGAGCTGCTGGTGGGTTCAAACTGCTAACCTTTTGGTTAGCAAGCAGCCACTTAGCCATTGTGTCCCCAGAGCGTCATCTTCGGATGAAGTTCGTTGTCTTGAACTAGGGTAACGTTTCTGACTCCACAGAACTCCACTGTTGGTTGGTGGGCCTGTGTAGTGCCCACTGATGCCCAGCAGCTTGCTTTCTGAGTGTCTTTTCCTCCTTGCACTTTGGTCTGAATAATTGTCTCCTCTTTTGGCCTTTCTTGCTCACTTCTTAAGGAGCCTTGGTGGTGCAGCAGGCTAAGTTTTGGGAGGCTAACCACGTGGTCAGAGTCCTGGTGTGGCGCTGGGGGTTAATGCGCTGGACTGTAAAGTCAGTTTGAACTGCAGTGTTAGTGGTTCAAGCTCACCAACTGCTCTTCGGAAATCCTATACAGAGTTGCTATAGGTCAGAACTGACTGGACGCCGTGTAATAGCAACCACATGTTGAGCAGTTCAAACCCACCAACTGCTCTTTAGGAGAAAGATGAGCTTTCTGTTTTTATGAAGATTTACAGTCTTGGGAAATCCTAAGAGGTAGTTTTAATCTGTTATTTAGGGTCGCTGTTAGTTAAAATGAACTTGATGGTAATAGGGCTTTTATTTGTCTGACTCCGTTTTTAGTCTGCCCCCAGCAGTTTCGCAGTAAGGAGTTCTGTCCTCGGGGAAGCCCTGGTGGGTCCATTTTGAGAATTCTAAGGGCTGGACTGCTGTGGAGAGTCCCTGGGTGACTGTTGAGTCCACTCAGAGACACCTCACAAGTTGGGCCTGGTGGTCCCTCTTGCCTTTGAGAAGCCTGCGGACACAGCTCTACTCTGACCCACATGGAGTCGCCAGGAGTCACAAGTGATTGGACAGCACCTGTTGGGTGCTTGTCTTTCTCCCCCATCCCCAGGCCCTGAGTGACTGATAGTGTGTTGCTTCTCAGGAATTGGTGACCCTCAAGGACGTGGCCATGGACTTCACCTTGGAAGATTGGGAACAGCTGGTGCTGGACGAAAGGGACCTGTTCTGGGACACAGCACTGGACAATTACCAGAACCTCTTCCTGCTGAGTGAGCATCTGCCCTGACCCAAGTTCAGTCCTGGCCTTGTTTGTCCTTGTCACCTGCCACAGACTGCATGAATGTCCTGAGCTGCTCAGAATCAGCCCAGGGATTCTGCTCCTTGGGGCATTTACAGTGTGTGGAGATGGTGGTGTTTGTCCCCACTTAGCTACTGGTGTCTATGCCAACTTCTACAATGCATAGGACAAGCCCCACCACAAAGACCCATCTGGCCTCCAACATCCATAGTGCCACAGTTGGGAACCCTTATCTGTCAGCCTCCCCCTTTCTCAGCTTCATCTCCAACTCTTCCTCCTCATAACTGGAGAGTAAGTCCTCCAGCCGATACTTTAGGATCTTTGCAATTCCTCTTCCCTCTGCCTAGAAGGCTCTCTTCCTTCCTTGTCTCAGGCTTCCCTTGCTTCACACTGTAAGCTGTGGCCGTGTTAGTGCTCCATAGCTGCCTTTCCTGCTGGCCATGCTCCCTCTCTCCTCCATGCTCTAAGCACTTGTTTCACTACCTGTTTTCCTCTGCTACAATGCAAACTTTGTGAGTACAAACAGTACCTGCTGTTTAACAGTGACTGAGCCACAGAAGCGACTTTGACCAGAGTCAGGCCCTGGGCACTTAGAACTGCTCGCTCAATCCTCCAGTAACTTCACAGGGAAGCTTGATTGCACCTGTTCTGTGAATCAGGGAACTGAGGTCCAGAGAGGGACATTCACCTTTCTCATTGTGTGTGGTTCACTAAGCAGACTCACAGGTCCTTGAACCAGGATTAAGTTTGATTTGGTTCTCCATCTGCAGGGTTCGGCACTCAGGAGTCATTCGGGAAGTATTGGTGTAACTCAGAGGTGGGCAGACAGCAGCCTGCAGGCTCATTCTTGTCAGTAAAGCTTTGTTGGAACATGGCCCTTTGCGTACATCTTCCTGTGGCTGCTTTCGTACTGCTACAATGGCAAGACTGAGTAGTTGCCACAGAGATGGCAGAACCTCAAGTATTTGTAGTCCAGCGCAAATTTGCTGACCCCTCATCTAAACAATCGATTTATACTTCTCTCTCTCTATGTTGTGTGCTCCTACCTGCTCCTCCAAGCTCATCTCAGAGACTGTCTTCTGGAAGTCATTGTAGCCTGAAAGCAGGTAGTTGCTCTCCCAGCCCATGTGTCTGCCTCTGTCACAGCCCTGATCCTTTTTTCATTGTTCTTGTATGAATTCTAATTAAGGAGACATTACATTCAGAATTGTAGCACTCAGTGATAATTTTCGGAAGCCTGAAACAATGTCTTTGTCTGTCACTTAAAAGGTACATGGGGTGCAGTTATTTGCTTGAATGTTTTCTTAAATAAGAAATGGTTGTAGACACAACCATTCAACGTTTTCCTAGTCATGACCCCATTACAGGTACTGATGGCCAAATTTTCTTGGCCACCCACTGGCATTACAAGTGAGCCTTAGGGTGAATTGGAAAAGGATGGGTTAAATGAGGAGACAGGCCATTCCTTGGTAAAAGTTGGTCGTTTTCTTTCCCAATATATCATTTTGTTGAGAACTTCCATTTTTATCCTGTGTTCCTCATCTGCCAGCTCTCTGTTGGATTTGGACCATGCGGACCTCATCTGTTTGTATCCGCTGCCTTGGTGACATGGACATTGGTAGATGGTATTCTTCCTTGTGCGTCTTTTAAAAGCAACTTCCTGAGAGGTTTTACTCCTGTGGTTCTTATTGGCAGTTCAACACGAGGGTTCTGGTCGAGAGGTGTGGGAGATGGATGAACTCTTTCTCATCACACAGTTTTCAATTTGAAACAAGGCATGATTCTTGGGCTGTAGCATCTGGGTGTATTCAGGCTCCTCTTCCAGCTGTTAGGGCCCCATGTTAGCCATCGTCTCCTTCCTTAGGATGTGCGTACTCAGAAGTGAGTTGATACTTTGCTTCACGTTCCCTCTCCCTTTCATGGGCCATTATTATTTGGTGTTTTCCCAGCACTTGTTCAGTTATTTGAAATCCCGCAGTGAAACGCTTGGCTGAGAGTTTTCCTTGAAGGCGAGTGCTTGCCGGCTATGTTGCTGTGAGTGCAGTAGTCTGCACATCCCTTTGTTACATTCAAGTACTTCTCTGTGCTTTTCCCACTAAAGCAAGCCAGATGCTCTTTTCCAGTTCTTAGAAGTATTTGACAGCTTTTATCCTTCTGCTGTTTCACACTTTACACTATCTTTCTCCTGGCCATTAGCAGTCCTATAGTGGTGATAGGGATTGGGGATGGGGACAGTGAGGCTCAGGGTGTGGCAGCCGTGTGCTGAGGCTGCAAAGCCCCAGACTGCCACCCCTCATGGGCCTTCACCCACCTGCGGATCTGTCAGTAGGCTGGGGCCTCGGATACATTTTGATTGTAACTTTCTTTCAAACCATTCCTGTCTCCCCCACTAGCCTGGGGGGTTCTTACAGTTGAGAAGAATTCCCTCCCCTGCCTAGACTGGGCTAGGTTTTGTCACTAGCTTGGACTCTGGGTCCGCAGCATCTTCCCTCACAGACCTGGCTCCCAGAGGCATCCTGGTGGTGTTTGATCCCTGCTGAGTGAGTGAGTGAGTGAATCGTGAATGGATGAAGCAGTACAAGGAGTTTCATTTGTGGATCACTTTCACGATCTTTTCATTTTGTTTTCCCATGAACTCTGTGAAACCCCCTCCTATATGCATCTCGTCCTTCACAAGCCATCTCAGGTCACCCTGGATTGTCACTACATAGGGCACTGTCTTCAAGGCAGGGCTGGGCTGCCTGACCACCTGGCACAGGATCTGGCTCCCAGGAGGGACATAAAGACCAGTAATCCCACAGGACAGCTGGAAGTCTCTCCCTGGACATCAGGCAAACCCACCAGTCTTGGTAGATGACTCTACCATTCTCTCCATGCAGATCCCACCAGATCCAACGTGACCTCCCACCCTGGTGACGGGGAAGAGCTGGAGGCGCTGGGAAATGAAAGTCCCAAAGCGATGGACCCTGGTGAGTGGGGTGACCTGTCTTCAGTGGAGGGTGGTGGGTAGGAATCCCCTTGTCCTAACTCTCCACCCAGACATCTTGACACCCACTGTGGGCTTCCTTGTGCCAGTGACTGGCTTCTAGTCCCTCGTCCTGGGTGGGATGGGAACACATGAGCAGGCCTCCTACTCTGACCTGCCCCGCATGTCTGTTCCTCAACATTCAGCACAGGCCTGTCTTGGCACATTTCATTCCGTCTCTTCCTACCACAAGAATGAGGGACCTTCCATTGTTAGGTTCTGTCCTTTCCATTGCCTGCCTGTGTACCCCAAGCACCGTGACCCCTTTTGTACAGACCTAGGAGCTCTGGTGGTGCCGTGATTAAAGCACTCTGGTGCTAACCAAAAGGTCAGTGAGTCTAACCCATCAGCTGCTCCATGGAGAGAGATGTGGTAGTCTGCTTCTGAAAGGATTTACAGGATCAGAAACCCTATGTACAGGTCTGCTCTGTCCTATATATAGTGTCACTGTGAGTTGGAATTAACTCAGCAACAATGGGTTTGGTGGGGTTTTGGCTGTACAGACCCAGCCCTCCTTCCTGGCCCCACAGGGCACAGCAGATGGCTATATTTATGAGTAATTCAAGCTCAGGCATAAACACCACCAAGTGTGCTGGCTGCCATTGCCTAGCCGAGCATTCCTTTAGGTGGGTTGAGTTACGCAGTGAGGATTCCTGGGTGTCCCCTCTGGTCATGACCTCCCCATTTCTGAAGAAGCAGAGGTAGAGGACGGCTAACTCTTCTTGTCATAGGACCATTGATCTGAGGAGGGGCCCAGAACCAGAGAACATAGGCATGGTGCCAGCTGCCAGTCCACCTAGTCAGCCATTGTTGGTTGGCTCAACTCTCATGAATCCTCTGCAGCCTCCTCTTCACACCAGTGTTTCTTTGTAGTCTCCTAATCCAGGCACACACTCCCGCCACCCCTTGTTAGGATTTCTATCAGCTTAACATAAGTGATGGGCCGAAGTTGACGTAACCAGTAACCAGTTTACAGTTAACATAAGTGATGGGCCCAAGTTGATGTAACCAGTAACCAGTTTACAGTTAACATAAGTGATG